ACAATGAGGATAACCATGTCGCATAAGCTAGGTACGTAGTGGATGTTCGGCACGCGCACTTTGATAGGAATAATAATTATAAAGCGCATATATCGAATAATTTCTTGACACGCCCGACATGTTATAAAGTGGAGAATGAAATAATTGTGTCGCCAAAGACATGAAAAAGACGAATGACACGTGTTCCAAACACCCCACTTTGGATGGCCGGTTTTTCCAGGAGAGGCTGATATTAGGGTATGGACTTATCAGCTTGATTTATGTCAAAATAAGTTACTCTTATTCTAAAGCATTGATGTATATGACTAACTTTTTCTGATCTTTTCTATAGCTAACCTAGCTATATGTATTTAAATGTTACTGAAGAAATTAAAATCACGTTTTGCCTGTACTCCACTGATTATGCATGATAGAAATCATGATCTGCCAACGCAGCCTGTGAATAGGTCCTCCAGTCCTAGGTTATAACTTTTTATATCAACTTTAGTCATTGCGTAACACCATGGCCATTAACCATTAATGTTTCTAGCTCTTTCCAACCTAAAACTTTCTTCACCAAAAAAAAAACTTCAAACATCTATAAGTATACAAAATGACATATATCGAATCTTTTTTTAGAATGTAGTACGAATTAATATATCTCATGCATGCATGTTTTACAACCAATTTCATCAATTGAGAAGAATATATCGCATTTTGTAACAGTGGCAACCAGGACAAAATGTTCTTGTCGGTATGCTTCATTTTCACTATCAGATAGACATCTTTATGCCTATTGACAAGTGGAGAACACATTTTGTTTTAGATTATGGTCGATCCCATAAATAACATAAAGATTGTTAAATGTTGATGTATCTTCTATATATCTGTATGCATTCCAGTATAGTTCCTACATAGTACATATCAAACTACAATTATGAATATATATGATTGACATCTTTATGCCTATTGACAAGTGGAGAACATATTTTGTTTTAGATTATTATGATATCCCATAAATAGCATAAAGATTGTTAAATGTTGATGTATCTTCTATACTTATCTGTGCATTCCATTATAGTTCATACATAGTGAATATGAAACTACAATTATAAATTCTTTTTTTATGGCACAATTATAAATTCTTACTTAAAAGGATTAGTCGACCAGGGAAGATATATAGCCTATATGTAAGTCTGCTTTACCCACTGCCTACATTTTTTTTTCTTTGTGATACCGCCTATATGCTGAATAATGTAGATGGATCACTTCCTCACCACTAAATGTCACCGGCCTTATCGGTGCCAATATCATAATGCTACAAAGTACTCAGTCTTGCAGAATAGAGGTTAGACTAAACTTTATTCACAACACACTAAATGATTTTGTTAAGGGAATAATGCAGGCCGCAAATCAACAGCAAAAAGCTTAAGCTAGCTAGATACCGTGCTCTTTATTTCAGCACTAAAGTTGATTAGGAAGCTGCAGATCTGTTGCAGACCATGGCTTTGTCTGCTGCATGGAATTTCTTGTCTATGAAAATATTCAGACGACATGCATGTACTGTTTGTCTGTTGGACATTTGTTGACAAGCTGCAGGCTTTGCAGCGAGGCTGGTACGTGACTGATCTGATGGTCTAGGTAACATGAATTCATGAGACCGTGCTAGAGATTGATCGATGCAGAACGGAAGTTTTATTCTTCAGACATCATCATTTATATCATCAGGATTGTCAGTATAGTTTTGTCATTGTATGCACTGGATTTTCGCCTTCTGAGATGAATGGAATCATGAGCCGGCATATTTCTCTTCTTCCAAGGAGCTGGCAGAGTTTTTGGCGCTGATCGACATGGAATTCGAAAACAATAGTACTACTAGTACTCTGGAGGATGATCAGCATCATGAGAAGTTACATCAAATATCACCGTTTCCTGATTGGTACAGATCGATTGAAGATACATCACCGAATTCAGCTAAGCTAGGCCTTACCTTACCTTCCAGCTAAAAAGCTAATGAGACAAAATCATCTCCCTAATCACTCCACACACCAGCCTATAACATTTCTTTCCGTATAACTTCACTTATGCTTCTTAGCAGGATAGACCTTATCATTTACTAGTGCATGCTTGGCACTTGCATATTCTAGGTAACTTTTGTGTGAGAAATCTTTGCTTTTTCCTATATATGGGAAGTAAGATAATTACGATGCTGAATATTATATAAATATCCAAAAATCACGGCTTTTAATTTGCAGACCTACCAAGAGCTATTGCATGCCATGCAGTAATGGGGGTACAAAAAGATAGTACTTCTTATTGTGAAATATTCCACCTGAAGAAAGATCAGCCGTTCTACTCCACTGAAGGTCATAATTTGGTATCATATAGTCTAGCTAATAAACATTATGTTTTAGACTGACGGGACATATGAAGATATAACAGACCACAATGACAACTATTACTACCTCTGTTTCAAAATATAAGTATTTCTAGATTGTTTAGCATAGGTTAAGGTTGAGAAAAAAAAACTTGAGTACACTTTAATAAGGAATGCGTAGGGGTGGAGGGTACGTAGGTGGGATAAAATGGAATAAAATTTGAATGGGGGTGATTAATTGGACAAATATATACATAGTACTGTGAATAGTAGTGGTAGAAATTTTTACATTTTAAAACAAGATTAAAATGCTAGAAGTTCTTATATTTTGAAAGAGTAATTATTTCTATGTATGTCATGGCAACAATAATTACTGGAAGTTGTGCAAAAGTTTTTGTAGGTTTACCTAATATAATCTTTGATCTTAGACACTTTCGTCGAATCAGTTTCAAACAAGTTATATAAATATATATCTTACTAGAGCCAAAATTTGTGAAATCATCACCCAGGAACAGCAACATAAAATGGGAGGGACGAATTGATATGAGCAACTGATCAGGGAGTTAATTAAGGGAAAAACACATAGGAGAGTAGACTGGTTCAATATATTTTGTGAAACCTTTTTTTTTTGCCAATCCATTGAATCTTTGTGACAAATTAAACTAAAGTGAAAAATTAGGAGTTAAGGAAAAATAGGAACTAGTGAAATGTTTTTTAATTAACATAAGCTTGCCATGTACAGGTCGATGTTCCAGCAAATAGAACAGATCAATGGCACCATGACCAACACATGCACTTGTACTACTTCGTCATATATAATATGCTTCTTGTGATAATCTTTTAGTCCATAGCACAAGCCTGGGATTGAGGGAGCACCCTACAAAAAATAAAGAGAATTTATCATGTAATTCGTCAAATGTACTTGTTAAGGAAAGTTGGACAATACAATTTAATTCACCCAAAGGACAAACCTCTGGGTAAAACTATACAATACACACTTTAAATCAAATGTATTACTACCTGTGTGATTAAAGTGAAGTAGATGCATGTGATCTTTATTATATCCTCGTTCGAACTTTATATAGTTACACATATGATCTCGCTTTGAATGTTAAAAAGAAACTATGGAAAGTAATATTGTTTGAACTTTGAAGAACGTCAAGCACACCTAAACCATATTACAAGAATACCAAGAAGGACGAGTAAAAACATATAAGTACTTATAAGGTTGCAAAGTAGCTGAAAAGAATCATCGTTGTCATTCAAAGAAGACAACCATAACACAACTAGGGTAGTGGGTGAAGATCACGCGCATTAATTCTTAAGGAATAAGAGCCGCTAGCACACAGCGAATAAATCATGACATGTCACATACAAGATAAAGTGAATGATAATAATTTTGCCGTCGATAACACGGAAAACAAGTGAAGGGCACATTTACCGAACGCACTATTCTATAAATATCCTTGTCGAATCAAGTTGCATAGCATATGTTAACTCATAAAATTGCAGCCAATAATCGATCGTGTTCATGAAATGTTGCATCACACATCGTAGGAACTCAACATGGTCTACAAATCCTATGAGAAGACAATTTGCATTTGAAAAGCGTAAATGTTTATTAATTCCTCCCCCTTGAAGAACCTGTCATTGTTGTCAGTATACGCAAATGTGCATTCATGGATATAATTGTTTCCAAGGGATAATGGCAAAATCGATCTTCTCAATACAACTCCTTTTTCATTGTATGTTCAAATGATCACCAACCCTAGGGACAATAGCTCCTCTTTCCCTGTATGAGATATCTCTAGAGTACTACCATAAGATATCCAAATTAAAGCATATTACTACACACATGGCAGTTACACAACACACAATACAGTTCTTTTTTTAAAAAAAATATCTAGGCACGGCCTGCACCGTACACATTCTATTACAATGAATCTGGACAGAGATATGTCCATATTTGTAGTATTAGAATGTGTCACATCCAGTACTAGGTTGATTTTTTATGAGACTAAGAGAATATGCTAAGAACAATGCAACTCTGCGAGATCAATTTTCTATCTTCACATATACAGAAGCTCCAATGACTCTGATTGCAATGATCACGTTTCATGTCGGTCTTTACTTGCATACAATTGAAAGTAGACAAGAGTAGGATAGCTACAAGCTCTGGCATGCCAGGGGAACAGCATAGGATGTCATACACAATTAAAGTGAATGTTAAGACCAGCAGAATAGAGCAGAAAATACTAGTGCCGAAAGCATGGAGGATGGAAGCTTTGTTCGTCAGATCAAGCATACAAGAATGGTCAGCACGGAGGTCGATGTGCAACATGTGATATGTGTGACAAGCTAGCATGGGTTTTGCTGACAAAAGTGAGCAGATGGCAATATGGCATTACAATGTTACAACTGATATATTTACAGGATTTTAACCTCTTTTCAATAGGAACGAGTAGTCCAATTAACACAGCTATGTGATATATAGCTAATTGATACTATCACATGTAGTTCCATTTATTGCTTGGCAATTTGAATATACTTTTAAACAGGATGTCCTCGGCAGTATATTTTTTTTAATTTTAACTGATAATAAATATATCGGTCTTTAATTAACTTCCCCATGAACATGCAAAACTGACATAATAAGCATAATATTAATTCAACAACATAGAATACCATTACACTGCATTATTACATGATGACAGTTGGCTGCTGGAGATTATTTAGATGTGAGAAATACTTAGGTTGTTTTACGATTTCAACCAGTAAAACTTGGTACCTCACTCTTCAACGCATCCCCATACTGAAATGCATACATCTATGCGCATTTTGTTTGCACATTTAGGTACCAAGGTTTACACACATAGAAAGCACACACATATATATGCAGGCCCCAGAAGAAACACGAACTCAGGGTTGTTTACCGCCATACTTCCTCATGTACTCCATGTACCCTTTCATAGTCACGTAATAGTTTGAATCAATATTAGTACCGGAGGCACCAGCTGATGAAGTACCAGAGGCACCAGCTGTTGAATCAGTACTAGCTGCCTCTGTGACGACGCTTCCTCCATTACTTCCATGAGCGTTTGCAGCAGCTGCAACTTGTTTTTCAGTAACTCCATGAGAACTTGCATCGTCAGAATAAACAGCCACCGACATCATCAGCATCGCCACCATAACGAGCACCGCCACCGTCGAGACCTTCATCTTTGTATGGTCTGCAAATCTGCATGCATGTACAGAAGGGTTGGATCACAATCAAGAAATTAATTGGGAATCAATTCTAATTGTATTGAGAGGACTTTCATGACTTATTATTGCTTCGAAGGTGAAGAGATACTGACCTGACTTACTTTGAGCTCAGGGCACATTTGTTGATGTTAAGAATGCGAAGAGGCTTGATATTTATAGCCATGCATGTATTGAAAGAGAAGGAAATATCAATCTTGATAGGGGCATAGGGCACTCATAAATCTTGTTAAGTTGAGCAATTGGAGGAAGCCTTAAATCCACATAGTAGTGGCTGTTAGCGCATTATGTATCGAGAAAATAGTGGGGAATAATTTTTAAGATGTGACTAGAAATATGCTCCATAAACATAATAAAGTGAAACTGAGAAATATGCATCTATTCATATTTTACTAAATAAAAAAGTGTGCATGTTCTTGATATACACTGGTGGAGAAACCGTTTGTAGTCCCGGTTGGTAACCTCCCTTTAGTCCCGGTTGTCCAACCAGGACTACGAATCCAGGACTAAAGATAGCTATCTTTAGTCCCGGGTGAAATAACCGAGACTAAAATCGATCTTTAGTCCCGGTTCGTGTTACCAACCGGGACTAAAGATCGGTCAGCCACGTGGCCGGCCAAACCATCTTTAGTCCCGGTTTATGTTACCAACCGGGACTAAAGATCGGTGCACCATTTTTTTTATTTGCATGGCCTTGTTTGCTGCATGGTTGATTATATATATATATATATATATGTATATATATATATATATATATGTATATATATATATATATATATGTATATATATATATATATATATGTATATATATATATATATACATACATACATATGTTACAATACATATATATGCATAATATATAAGCATATATATATATGTGCATATATATATATATATGCATATGTGTATATGTATAAATCATATATTACACACACATATGTATAATTTAAAGCACTTAACATTTTATGTGCATATATGTTACCAAAATATATATTAACACTAAAGTAAAGTAAATGTGTACATATATAAATATATATATATATATACATGCATATATAGTACAATTCATTTGCTCGGTAGCTATAGCTACGACTTCGACGCCGGCGTTATGTCAGAAGAGGAAGGACCGACGTTATGAATTGTCGATCCGTCATAGTAGAATTCACCATCGGGATTAAGGACTTCTTCGTTGATGAATCCTATCAGTTGTTCTTGAACAGCCGTGATAAAATCCTTGCGTGGGAGATTATCCCTCATGTGAATATGCTATCATTTGAAAAATAATGACGTATCAATATATGAAATTAATAAACAACTTAACAAATCGATACGCAATGAAATTTTGAATGGTTTATGTATACGTACATCGAGCTCTCGTGTTGTGCATATTTGGTTTGATAGGCAGTGGGCATACTCGCATACGTATTAGCCGCATAAGTTAGTTCCCTGGTCCTGCTTTGCACACTACATAAGAAACGATGAGAGATTTAATATACTCTTGATATTAACTGTAATTAGAGATTCAATTCAATATAATTTTGGATCATGCATGTACTCACTGGAAAATGAAACCTCCGTCCAAGTTTTTCTTTCCAAGTCCCGCGGACCAATTGACGGAACCGATCCCAAGCCCTACATATGCAGTTGCAAGCTATGATTAATTAATTATTACCTGAGATCAACATAATAGCAATAGATTCCCCGCGACTTTGGAATAGATGGCATTATATTACCTGTCTATCAGTTTGACGACCTTGTCAAAAATCTTCTCCTCTTTATTCATTGAGTCATACACAGTGACTTTGCATGCGTCCAAGTCGAAGAATAACAGGACCCAGTGGAATCTGGAATATGCTTGAGATGAGATATATATGAAAATGTACATGCTATATATATCGGAACGAAATTTGTTCGAACGACAATAAAAACTCACTCTGTGTTGTACGGCAGTAGTATGTACGTCCTGAAATGCTGCTGCGTTAGGAGATGGACGAGATTGTCCTCTGTGTCTTTCTCGTACTTGTCGATCATTTCGGTGTTGATTTTCCGAGGGTCGATGAACCCAGTATCGTAGACCCTCGTCATCGGGTCCTTTGAATCTCCATTTCTACAACGATGAAAGGAAAGTATTATTGCTTATATATATGCCAGGAGCTAATTATTGAACGAAACAAATCGAACTCAAAGATACTCACAAAATCCATGAGCTCAGAAGAGAGACGTCGAGGGCGTCCAGCTGGTACAGATCGAAGAGATCCTTGAAATGGATCCAGAGAACATCTTCTCCTTGCAAGAAGTCGGGGTTTTTGATCCTCGCTCCGAACATCTCTCTACCCTTGGCGCTCATTTCCATGTACCGTTCATGGAATTTGTACATCTATGTCGGTAGGGACTGCAGCTGTTCAGGTTTGACAAGCGGTTTACCGAGTTCAAACTTGTATGCCACTTCCGCCTTCGGGATTGGTGCACCTCGAATCAGCTGATCCACAGTTAGACCGGTGTCTGAAATGAATTCCGTTATGCCAAAATCTTCGCCGGTCACGAAAGGCTCGACCTCTTGGTTTGGTTGTTCTATAAGCTGAGGGACTGGTTTGGACTTCTTGTGATAGGCTCTCTGAACTGTTCGGTCATAGTCCGATATCTGTAACGCCTCCTTGTTTGTTGTGGACATTCCCTTGAAGAAGTTCTTCACGCTCGGTATCTCTCTTGCTCCTCATCCGACTCCTGTACGTGTGGATGTCCTCCTTAAATCCAATCTTCCAGGGAATCACGCCTTTCCCTCGTGTTCGTCCTGGATGCTCGGGAGTTTGTAGGGCGAGTGACAGCTCATCCTTCTCTCTATCGGGTCGGAATGTGCCCTGAGAAGAGACTACCACTGCGTCCGTTAGTCGACTGGCAGCCTCGCGTATCTGATCGTTGAAGACAAGGGAGCCATCAACTGGGTTAAGCGTTCCACCGTGAGCATAGTACCAGAACTTCGATCGATCCGGCCATTTAGCGGTGGCCGGTTCGATACCCCTCTCAATCAAACTTGCCTCCATCTCCTCCCACTTCGGCATTGCGACGCTATATCCGCCTAACCCCAAGTGGTGATGGTACTTCTTCTTGGCGGCATTTTCTTTGTTTCTGGCCATCATCGCTTCCCCTTGTTGCCCTGTCTTGTAAGCAACGAACTCGTCCCAATGATCCCTTAGCTTTGGGAATGTGTCGAAGTTCGGTGTTTGTCCCTTCAGGATGTATTTCTTGTAGAGATCTCCCTTGAAGCTCTAGAACTGTTTTGCCATTTTCTTCAGAGTCCACTATTTCACTATGTTCTCCGTACCCGCAGGTAGCGTGAACGTCTCGAGCATTGTGGTCCACAGCATCTCTTTCTCTGAGTCCGGGACAAAGCTGTCATTATCCCCGCGTGCCCTTGTTCTACGCCAGTACACCGTGCTGACAGGCACGTTGTCCCTCACAACCCAACCCAACCGCTGTGGCGTACAAAATTCTTGGCTGCTTCTGCCAGGGCACTAGGTCGGCCGTCTTCGTCCACCTCAGTTATGATGTGCCGACCCTCTATCTTCTTCGCGGCACTTCGTTGTCCGCGTGCCCTCTTCTGTCCAGCGGAGGGATGACTTCCACTAGCCTCCTCCTCATCGTTCCCCTCCTCGTTCCCCTCCGCATCCCTCTCCACGTTCCCCTCCTCGTTCAAGTACTGGTTTGGATCCTCGTTCCCCTTTTCTTCGTTCCAGTACTGGCTGCTTCCCTCTGCGATTGTATCGTATAGTATCTGTTCCTCATCGCGATCAGCCATCTGTGCATACAAAAAATATTTGTTAGGTATATAGGATGTATTTGCTAACCGTAATATTAAAATTCTACTAATCTTATATTAAATCTCTAATAATCTTATATTAAATCGCTACTAATCTCATATTAAAATTGTAATAATCATATATATATATGCTAAGTATAACAATCTTATATTAAATCGCTACTAATCTTATATTAAATCTCTACTAATCTTATATTAAATCACTACTAATATTATATTAAAATTGTAATAATCATATATATATATGCTAAGTCTAACAATCTTATATTAAATATCCAACAATCTTATATTAAATCTCTAATAATCTTATATTAAATTGTAATAATCATATATGCTAAGTCTAACAATCTTATATTAAATCGCTACTAATCTCATATTAAAATTGTAATAATCATATATATATATGCTAAGTATAACAATCTTATATTAAATCGATACTAATCTTATATTAAATCTCTACTAATCTCATATTAAATCACTACTAATCTTATATTAAAATTGTAATAATCATTTATATATGCTAAGTCTAACAATCTTATATTAAATCTCTAACAATCATATATGCTAAGTCTAACAAACTTATATTAAATCGCTACAAATCTTATATTAAAATTGTAATAATCATATATGCTAAGTCTAACAATCTTATATTAAATCTCTAACAATCACTTCTTTACATCACTTGCCTGCGCGAATTCCTTCGATGGCTAGCTACCACTTCGGCTTGAGGGACGACGACGACGTCTTCTCTACAATATTACCAGGAAAATGTATTAGTCTAAACGGGCCAAGTTACATATATAATCATATATGTATTACGAGTAAAATGTATTAGTCTAAACGCGTTTCATTCACGTTCGTAAGCGTTTCATTCACGTTCGTTCGTAACCGTTTCGTTCACGTTCGTAAGCGTTTCATTCACGTTCGTAAGCGTTTCGTTCACGCTCGTTCGCGTTCGTTAACGTTTCATGCACGTTCGTTCGCGTTCGTTAACGTTTCGTTCACGTTCGTTCACGTTCGTTCGCGTTCGTTAACGTTTCGTTCACATTCGTTCATGTTCGTTAAGCGTTTGTTCAAGGTCGTCCACGTATCGTTCACATTCGTTCGCGTTCGGTCACGTCTCAATCACGTTCGTTCACGTTCGGCAATGTTGGGCGTGCGCGGCAGTGGCGCGGCGGCGGCGTCGGGGCGCCGTGGGCCGGCCCAGCGGCGTGCGGGCGCGGCGGCGGCGTTGGGGCCCGGCAGCGTGGGGGCGCGGCGTTGGCGTGCCGCGGCGGCGGCATGGCGTAGTGGCCCGGCGGCGTGGCGCGGCGGCGTGGCGAGCTCGAGGCG